CCGACTGTATAAGTGAGTGAGTGAGTATGGTTTTACGCTGCTTTTAGCAACATTCCAGCAATATCACGGCGGGGGACACCAGAAATGGGCTTCACACATTGTACCCATGTCGAACCTGGATCTTCGGCGTGACGAGCGAACGCTTTAACCACTAGACTACCCGACCGCCCCCCGACTGTATAAAGCTCAAAGTCGAGGATTTGCATTTGTAGCAGCGATAGGTTCCGAGATCTGACATATATCCCGGATTAAACATGTTCGGATATCTGTACTTTCGTCACCACTCGCCCGTTTCCGTAACCTGCAAGAAAACCCGTCCCCCGTCCATGAATGTTATGTGCGAAAATACGACAAGCAAATCAGAATGCGCATATGACTTCAAGTACAAAATTATTTGCATCTAATAATATACCCTAGATACAGTGAAAGGTGTTCAATCATACTGTATAATTGCCGCAAGTGCGGATATGTTTGAAATATCTACTGGAATATATATGACATGGGGCAAATATACGTGAATCATTACGCAACGAGTTGACAATTATTTTAACTATGCCCGTTTGCGTTTCGACGGAACCCAGTCGCAAATATGGCCACGAGAGGGCCACGAGTCGCTACATTCGTCGCCACTCGCCCCTTTCCGTAACCTGCAAAAAGACTCGTCCCCCCTATCGATGAATGTTATATGCGAAAAAACGATCTTAATGCAGATATTTGTAAGCACAATCTCTCTGCCCGGGATAAGTTAGTTGGCACTGCTATATCTGATAGACACCTCCTACACACCATTAGTGAGCTCGCAACCCATTCCCCACGTTATACATGTAGATCCAAGGATAACACCTTAAAGAGTATGATTGACTATATCCTGGTACCCTCGTGGATAAAAGACCATGTTACCGATCTCCATGTTATAGATACATGCCCTTATACGGTGTCAGATCATCTCCCATGTTTATTATCTGTTTATTATCTATGTCATTGAGAGCCTTTGGTCGAAATAATCTCAATATTAACCCCCCTGTTCCAAAATGGAACAAAGCAAGTCAAGACGATATACTCAGATACCAGTGTGAACTTGGTACATATCTTAACTCCTTTCACGACTGTAATCTGTCTTGTCAGCCTGAAAATGTTGACACATATAGCGACCATATAAGTAAATGCCTTTTACTTGCAAGTTCCAAATGTATCCCTAAATGTGAATATAAACCTTTTCTTAAACCATTCTGGAAACCTGATGGACTAAATGATGCACATTACCGTATGAGGGCTGCTCGACGTGCATGGCTAAATAACGGTAAACCCAGGGACGAAAACTCGGATTCGCGCATCTCTTATAAAACTGAAAAGAGACACTTCGAAAATCGAAAAGGTCCAACAAAAAGAATACCCTAAGGGAAATTGAGAGGTCAGCTGAACTTGATATAAATTCTTTTTATAAAACTGTTAGAAAACAACGAGGGCGGGTGGCCGAGATACCTATACTTAACTATAAGGATGAATGTGGTTCTACACCCTCAGCTATTTGCAGATAATGGGGTAAATATTTTTCAGATTTAGCCAAACCCTACCATTCCGAAGGATTTGATGATGTATTTAAAGAAGATATAACTAGTAAGGTACAGATATTTAAACAAGTACGAGAGGCCTGATGGGGAATTGGATAAAGAATTTACATGTCAAGAGATAAGAGAGGCCGTCAAATCCCTCAGCAGGAATAAATTCCCAGGTCCGGATAAGATTACAAATGAACATATTATCTATGAAGGAGAACATCTTATTTATTCCTTTCGTATACTTTTTAATCATATGAAACTACAATATGTACCCTATGATTATAAACTTGGTATGGTCATACCAATATATAAGGGGAAGAATGAAAAATCTGACCCTCGAAATTATAGAGGTATTACTCTCAAATCATGTCTCTATAAACTCTTTGAAAAAATACTGCTCAAACGTATAGAAGACAAACTATGTAGACTTAACCCAGACTTTCCTGATATGCTACAGTTTGGTTTTAGAAAAGAACATGGAGCTATTATGTCAGTATTTATTTTGATCGAAGGCATTCAGTATTACATACAAAGGGACTCTGCAGTCTATGCAGCTTTCTTAGATAATGAAAAAGCATTCGATAGGATATGGCACGATGGATTATTTTACAAACTACATAAACTGGGCATTAGAGGTAATACATGGAAATTACTACATCATTGTTATACAAATAGTTATGCTTATATTTCCTACCAAGGTGAACAATCAGACAGATATATGGTTCAACAAGGTGTTGGCCAAGGCAGGGTAATCACTGCTTGGTTTTTTCTTGTTTTTATAAATGACCTCATTACAGCCCTTAGACAAGCACAATGTGGCATTCGTGCATATGGTATGGATATTCCTGCAGTCTTGCTTGCCGACGATACTACACTTATTAGCGCATCACCGAGAGGCTTACAAACATCCCTTGATATTGTACATACATATGCCTCAAGGTGGCGCCTAACATATAATACATCAAAAAGTGCAATAATTGTGTTCACCAAAGCAAAACGCAAGGGATATAACTGTCATTGTAAACTTGGTAATATACACATCACTACAACTGACTCTACGGTGTATGGTGGAATACTTCTAACATACAATCTGTCCTGTAAAACAAGAATTGAAAAGTACTGTCAGAAAGCAAGACAAAATATTAACTCCCTAAGATCTTTAGGATTAAATAGTTATGATCTTCATCCAATTTCAAGCGTGAAAATATGGCTCAGAATGATACTCACAACCAGCCTTTATGGATGTTAATTACTCTATGACATCAAGGGTCAACATGCCGCTCTGTTGGAAGGCACGCAAAGATATTTTGCACGCATTGTACAGGGTCTTGATAAAAGATCTCCTTCAGAATCTACTATTTCGAACCTTGGACTTTGGACAATTACTGCATATATTGATAAATGCAAACTTTTTTTTCTTGGTCGTTTATGCAATCTGAACTGTAATAACTTTGCAAAAGATATTTTTGCGCGTCCATTGCAAGGCCTGTCAATTCAAAGACAATCTGTGGAGATCTTAAATCAACACTTGATAAATACAATCTGAGTCCCTACCTTCGTGCATATACTCAGTACGGTACTTTCCTTCCAAAATTGAAATGGAGAAATCGTGTTAACGAAACTATATGCAAATACGAAGAACAATCATGGCTCACAAATGTATCAAATAACGCATGTCCCGTTATAAGAGAATTCATACGAAATTAACATACCATGTACTTTGGCAATTAGCTTTTCTGTACCCGGAATATCGACCTGCTTTACAACTCTGTGTGAAAGTCTCATCACGTAGTAAACTTTCGAAAGAGTGCATGCTCTGTAATAGGCATGCTTTTGACTATGACAGCCACGTTATTTTACATTGTGAAGCGCTGATATCAGAAAGAAATGCGTTTTTCTCTTCTCTCATTGACGTACTTGACGTTCAGAAATATGTTGATTTTGAAATGCAAGATGAAACAGATATGTTATCAGTCTTATTTGGGGCTGAAACAAAATTTACTCACAATCTGGATCAATACACCTGGGAAACTATTATACTTCAATTCTCCTCGTATCTGTACAAACTAAGGCATCTTTTGATATATATCTTCTAGTGAAAATCTGTCATCATTTAGGTATCTGAATTTGATAAACTGTGTTTAATTGTAAATATGTTACGCCTTTTTTTATTGTGTTAACTGCGTGTAATTGAATATATTTTCATTGTAATCTTCGGAATGGCATCTGGAGGAAATAAAAATCTCTCTCTCTCTCTCTCTCTCTCTCTCTCTCACATGGGGCAAATATACGTGAATCATTACGCAACGAGTTGACAATTATTTTAAGTATGCCCGTTTGCGTTTTCGACGGAACCCAGTCGCAAATATGGCCACGAGAGGGCCACGAGTCGCTACATTCGTCGCCACTCGCCCCTTTCCGTAACCTGCAAAAAGACTCGTCCCCCCTATCGATGAATGTTATATGCGAAAAAACGACAAACCAATCAGAATGCGCGTATGATTTCAAGTTGTTCGTCAAAGAATCCCTCAGAAATAATTGTGATTTTACATATGTCTTGCATTTAAAAATATAACCAAGACACAGTTAAATGTGTTCAGTCATACTGTATAGTTCCGCATGTCCATGTGTACTTTAAATTGCATCTGAAATATATATAATATATGGGGAAATATATGTGAACCATTACGCAACGAGTTGACAATTGTTTTAGGTATGCCCGTTTGCGCTAAGACGGAACCCGGTCGCAAAAATGGCCACGAGAGGGGCACGAGTCATTATTCACTATTGTCCCGGAATAACACGAGTTGGTCAAGAATGGAGTCGCTATTCGGCTGGTCCCGGAATAACACGAGTTGGTCACGAATGGTATTCGTGATTTAATTTATAACTACATGGTAGCCATAGTAGTACAACGGTTCCCTGTGTCGTCGGGTAAAACTAATTCCAGGAAAGGACGGCACAATGGCGTCATCCATGCAGTGACTACAAGACGGAACGTCCGAGTAAAATTGACCATTTTACTGATATTGATATTCATGTATACAACAGGACGGCCATTTTTATATTGTGCTTTGCAGAAAACAGGCATACACATTTTGAAGACATAAACAAACTAAAACATTATAGGTTCACGACTGCCGCCAAATATTGTTGGTATGGCTTTGTTTGTTATCGTGTTGGAGTGGGATATTCAATATAAACTGCAGCATGGTATCTCAGTGGGCTAGCACTGTAAAACCTGTATAAGTCCGGACTAGTACAAGCAGCCACACACACACACACACACACACACACACACACACACACACACACACGTGCATGCGCATCGCTATATAAGTGCAATAATTTTGAACCCAATTTCACCTCACGTCACCCCCACCTCTCAAAATGGATTCGGTGATTTAAATTGAAATCATAAGTATATCAACGTGAACCTACCTCTGTCCTGACTAATAACCATTTACCTTACATGTGCACACGGGTTGAGCATATAGATCAGGGTCACCGGTCGCGTCTGTCGCAGTGTGTCTACACCTTCCCCGTTTGACCGTTATCTTGGCCTTTGTTAAACGACGATAACAGTGATATCACAACAGCCGTGCATTATTTGCACTTATTGCGTCTCACTTTGGGCTGAGCGGAGACCTTATATCCAATGACGGGTCTCAATGCTATTAATTAGAGACCAACCTATGTCCCACTCTGACAGAAGCCGAACAACTGAATGCTTGTTTCATAAGGTAGATACAGTAAACTACGGTTATAACGAACACGCTTATAACGAACTAACGGATATAACGAACTAACTTTTTTGGTCCCGACTATTTGCTGTAGTTATGCTGTATATATGCTTATAACGAACTACGGCTATAACGAACTAAAATTAGTAGTCCCCTTGAGTTCGTTATAACCGTACTTAACTGTATTTTTAGGACAAGCATGTTTATTTTGAGACTAAACCAGAGGACAAAATATTAATTTTCCAGATTTTCCTTCAACAGATTTTTTTAAATCACGTATCATGGAATCACATTCAATTTATTTATTTATTTATTTATTTATTTATTTATTTATTTAAGAATTAACTTTGAGTGAGTTCATTGGAGTATGAATGAGGGCCAAACTGTATAAACATCGGGGTTTGTGGCGTGAATGGAGTTTGAGCTCACTAACATCGATTCATCGATAGAAAGGCACGACTAGAGTGAGTGAGTAAGCGTTACTAGAGTGAGTGAGTATGCGTTTGCGCCGCTTTTAGCAGTAACCCCGCAGTATCGTTGGGGGGGGGGGGGGGGGGGGGGGGGCACCAGAAATGGGCTTCATACATTGCACCTATGCGGGGAATACATAGCATTCCTTAATTTCCTATCACTGAGGTAATCTAGACTTGCTAAATCATTCTAGACTTGAGTTGGACTCCTTATTTAATATATCCCCTTTGGCCTGGGGAACAGACTAGAACCTATGTTCTATACTTTAATTTTTAAAAAGGACCACTAATGAGACTGTTCCTCCGCTAACGCAATTTTATTCACTAATCCCTACCCAAGGGCAGATAATCCAAAAGTAACTTTTCATGGTAAACCACAAGATAAGCTCTCACACGCATTTCCATGAGAGATTTTTCACTGACGTTTACTCCAAAATTTTCTCAATTTTGTTATGCTACACTTAGAACGTTGATGTCGAGATTTGAATGTAGCTCTGTATCAGAGACCAGTAGATGCACGATCGTAAAACTGTAGCAGCAGAACAGAACATCGCTATGATTTCGCAGCTATCATTAGAGATTTGAGGCCCAATCGGCCGACCTCGCCCATTTCCGATCCGCAATGGCTAAGGGACGCAACTCTGCACGGCGTATTGCTGCGCCAAAGTTTTCCCCACAAAGACACTAAATACATGTATATCTGTTTCTACAAAGACATATATTCTTGACTCAGGCATTTGGAATCGATTTTAAGATTATATTGAAATTATTTTAACAGTGTAAGCAACCATATTATCATTATCCTTTTTTTCTGACACATTTACACTTATGACGTCTCGGTCTTCTTTCAACTGTAGACTAGGTGAGGTGAAATTGGGTTTAACGTCGCGTCCAAGATTATTGCACTTATATAGCGACACGTGTGTGTGTGTGTGTGTGTGTGTGTGTGTGTGTGTGCCACTAGATCAACTGTAGACTATTTGAAACGAATTAACGTTTACTTACCTACTTTCTCCAATGCAAATTGTAAGCACATGCATTAATTCTAAGCTGCCATTACGAATGTGCTGGCTGTGACGATCAAATCGCACGAAATGGGCATGCAGCACGAATATACGGGCTTGTTAAAATGCACCGATATTAAACATGAATGAGTGAGTGAGTGAGTGAGTTGGGTTTTACGCCGCTTTTAACAGTATTCCAGTTATATCACGGCGTGTCAGCTAAATGTGGGAGGAAAGCCCGAAGTAATGCAGGTCTCAGACGTTTACCACTTCGGTGAAACCCACGAGCACGGGTATGGGGCTGACAAACCTAGAAACATAATCGGGGCGAACCGGGATTCGAACCCACAATCATAGGTTTCTGGCGTGCCAAAGGGACGCAACTCTGCACAGCGAATCGCGGCACCTTAGACGACTTGGCCACCCGTGCCCCCGATTAGCAATAGACAATAGAAGCCAAGTTATCATAAATAGATGGTAATGCCACTGATTCACATAATATGTCAAGTGTATATCCAAATATTTCCCCTATTAAAGGATGAGTAGTATATATCTGGATAGCCCCACAACTTCGGATTAACAACGTTCCGCGATTTATGCTGCAAAACAACCGTTAGAAACACTATTTCAATCGCCCAATCAGTCAAGCGTGACTTCCGTATGATATGTCACGTACTGGTATTAACATACACCAACGTCAACAATATTCTTACAAACACCCTCCTTCATGCATGACACTCTGCCATCATAACAATAAGCGCGAAGTACGATGGTCACAAGTCAAGGTGAGACTGTATTGCTGCGGGCGATATTAACCACCCTATCCGTTTATAAAGCCCCGCGGAGACTTAGGCTTTCTGCCTACAGCCACCCCACCTAGCAGCTAATACATTCTATCAAAGCCATTGAGAGGTGAATGGAAACGCTCAAAGCCTATTGAACATACCCGAAGCTGTACTGTTAGTTCGATATAAAATAATTACTTTTTATGCGGGGCTATTATTTTGTGCGGGATTGATATAGAAATATAATTTACGTTTATATGGAACATGGGCTGGGAAGTGTGTCTTCGGGGATCGCAAGGTTGTGCAGCGATTGAGAGATTCATTCCGAGCTTGTTCGAGGACAAAGCCGCGACAGTGATGTGTGGAATATGAGACCGATTTGGACGGAAGGCGACCGGTGTTGTAAGTTGACGTGGTACTGGTTTGGAATGTATTACACAGACGTAATAATGTTCTGATTCAGTTTAGGGTTGGACAGCTTGTGAAAAGATATTTATCACGACACAGCACAATACAACGTAGCGATGGGGACTACAGGTCAAAGATCGCGGTCGTTCTTTAATATGTGTATTATATTGACGATCATACAAGACTTTTGAAGAACTGGAATTGCCAAAATGCTTGCCGATGTTTCTGTGGGATTTGATGTACAGTGGTTTTATTGGAATGCCATCGGTCGTAATTAATGTTTACATATATGAATATTCGGAATGCAGAGTTCCATTCCCTGGGCATTAGAAGACTGTGTGAAGGACAACTAAGAGGTAAGAGGCGTTTGGACCCGAATAGCCTTCATTTATGGACGCAACTGGGGGCATTAACTAGTGCGATAGCTGTGAATTACTAGCAGTTGTCCCACTAGTGTGACACTGTTGCTATAGCATGAGGTGTTGGTCTTACTATTCGGGTAGTTTAGCTAGTGCGAATGTTGTGTAATAGTCGTATCAGTATTGTAGTTGTATTTCGATAATATATATATTATCGTAGCTGGAGTGAGAGAGTGTGAGAGGGAGAAAGGGAGCGCGAGAGTGTCAGAGAGACGGACACACAGAGAGTGTCAGAGAGATGGACATAGAGAGAGTAAGAGAGAGAGTAAAAGTGTGTGAGAGAAAGAGAGTTAACATAAGAGAGAAAGAGGGAGAGTGGTTAAGTTTGAGCAGCGTTATACGATTTGCCATTCTCTCTGAATTAACCATTAAGTTCTCTCACAATGGAATAAAGTTAGGTAGAATTTGTTATACGTCGCTTTAAAATAATTGAGTCTTGGACAGACCAGTGATTGATTTAGCAACGACCCATTACGCCAGGTACGATGACGTCCATTTGAACCAGGTTGACCCTCATTTTTTTCCCATTTAATCCTATGACCAATTCTGCCCCAGAATCACCCGGGGAGACAAACATAAGGTACTGGGGACCTACATTGTATTTTTCTCCGGAGTTACCGCGGGAGACATGTATAGGGTACGCGTGACCGGTTCTGCCCTGGAATACACTCACATGGAGACAAGCATGGGTACTGGGGGCCTATTTTGCCGCATAATCTCCGCGGAAAAACACGCATGGGGTATGGGGGACTATTCTGCCCCGAAATTACCACGGGGAGAAAAGTATGGGATACCATGGACCTATTTCACCTCAATATCTACACTGGGAGACAAACACGGGGCACTTGGGACATATTCTGCCCTGGAATACCCACATGGAGACAAGCATGGGTACTGGGGGCCTATTTTAAATCTCCACTTGGACACAAACACGTTGCACTGGGGACATATTCTGCCCTGGAATACCCACATGGAGACAAGCATGGGTACGGGACATATTTTGAACAATAACCTCTCCAGAGAGACAAGCATGGGGTACTGGGGACTATTCTGACCCGGATTCCCTAAAGAGCGAAGCATGGGGGACAGGGGACCTATTTTACCCCAAATCTCCACGAGGAGACAAATATGGGGTGCTGGTTACCTTTTTGCCCAAGAATACCCACCAGTTCTCCAACAATGGAACGTGTTAAAACAAGCGCATATCATACTTTCTACTGTCAGCGCAAAAACGACCCTCTCACTGACATCTTTCAAAGTGCTTCTTAAATCATAATAATCCACACCTTCAAGCAAACATTACTCAAGGTAATCAAATCCGTATTTTCTCTTTGAATCTAATGGCTCCTTTCGATTTTTTTCTTTTCCTAAGTGGCGTCTTAATTGACCTTACCGTATTGGTTTCCGACTCGTCGATGACAGAGACGGTAGCGTAAAGAGCTTACTTGTGTGTCGACACAATACCTGCCCACACGTGGAAACCGTAGTGTCTACATACCTGTAATCAAGCCGTGCTACCTGTGGTTACCTGTGCGGGGGAACACAGGTACACTCTTGGCTTTACCTGAAGCATAGGAAACAGGTGAGTGGGGATATAGTTTTAAAATGTTTAGAGCTTTCAAGTGAAATGTTTCGTCGCAACATTACCTGTTTCTACAATGTTTCAATGCTTCACGAACGTGTGCATTGAGTTCCTAAGCAAGTGGTGTCAAGGCAGGTTGAATGGGGATTTCGAAACAGTATATACTCAACGTAAATAATAACTGTCTTAAAGACTGGGGAATGTTATCTTTAAGTTACTTTTTTGTTACTTAAGTGTCTGTTAGAGTGTAAAAAATGTTGTCGTTTGATCCTTTTTCGTTATTTAATCACGACGAATCTTTTCAAGACAACCTTTTTATTTTGATGTTGAAATGTATGACAACGTGATCCTCAATATGAATATTCATAAATACTACATTAAACATTAGATTAGGATATCGAGATATGAAAGCCTGCAGAGTTGCGTGCCTTGGGCGTGCCAGGGTTTAATGATCGTTGTTTCGAATCCCAGATAAACCTCAATCACCTCAATCACCTCCAGCTTTCCTCCCAATTTAGGTTGATCTGTCCCAATAAAACTTCAAGGAGTAAAACACCATTCAATAAATCCCTCAACACCAACTACTACAATAATACGCTGAAATGTAATGTGACACACATGAAACAATATGGCATTTACTTTAGTGCAATGTTTCATCCCTTAGCCGAACCACCCCTCCGTGGTCCAGTGGTAGAGCGTCCGCCCGAAGAGTGGAAGGTCATGGGTTCGATCCCCGGCTGCGTCATACCAAAAGAAGGTAAAAGTTGGTACTTGTTGTTACCCTGTCTGTCGCTCGGCATCAAGGGGCTAAAACAAGGACTGGTCGGCTCGGAGTCGGTATACTGTGTGTGAGTGGGGTATTCATGTTCAACTGCGGCATGGTATCTCAGTGATCTAGCACTACAAAACGGCATCAGTCCGGACTAGTACAAGCCACACACACGCCCACACACACACACGCACACACACACACACACACACGCGTGCATACACGTCGTTATATGAGTGCAATAATCTTGGACGCGACGTTAAACCCAATTTCACCTCACCACCTTAGCGGTACCAGGATCTGCTTATCTTCTGTGTGAATCATAGATACGTCACGATTATGATCCTTGGTCTGTCACGGTGGTGAATGTCCGAGGCAAGCAAGAAATAGTACACACGATAAGGTACCTTTAAGGGGCCTTTGATAACATTGCCTTGAAAACATAAGGACTAACGTTAAGTTTTTATGTCACTCATTACATTCAGTGCTGTAAAACATGTATTCACCTTTGTACTGTGTGTCACGTTTGCTACTCAAAGGGGTTAAGGAGGCACTCCACTGAAACAATGTTATGCCTCCCTGTTTCCAAGTGGTGTATGCAGTTTCTTTTGCTTTCCTGTTTCCTAATGGTATTTGCAGTTTGTCACACTTTCCTGTTTCCTAATGATATATGCAGTTTGTCATACATTCCTGTTTCCTTATGGTATATGCAGTTTGTCATACATTCCTGTTTCCTAATGGTATTTGCAGTTTGTCATACATTCCTGTTTCCTAATGGTATTTGCAGTTTGTCATACATTCCTGTTTCCTAATGGTATATGCAGTTTGTCATACATTCCTGTTTCCTAATGGTATGTGCAGTTTGTCATACATTCCTGTTTCCTAATGGTATTTGCAGTTTGTCATACATTCCTGTTTCCTAATGGTATTTGCAGTTTGTCATACATTCCTGTTTCCTAATGGTATTTGCAGTTTCTTTTGCTTTCCTGTTTCCTAATGGTATTTGCAGTTTGTCACACTTTCCTGTTTCCTAATGATATATGCAGTTTGTCACACATTCCTGTTTCCTTATGGTATTTGCAGTTTGACATACATTCCTGTTTCCTAATGGTATATGCAGTTTGTCATACATTCCTGTTTCCTAATGGTATTTGCAGTTTGTCATACATTCCTGTTTCCTAATGGTATTTGCAGTTTGTCATACATTCCTGTTTCCTAATGGTATATGCAGTTTGTCATACATTCCTGTTTCCTAATGGCATTTGCAGTTTCTCATACATTCCTGTTTCCTAATGGTATTTGCAGTTTCTTTTCCTTTCCTGTTTCCTAATGGTATTTGCAGTTTGTCACTTTTTCCTGTTTCCTAATGATATATGCAGTTTGTCATACATTCCTGTTTCCTTATAGTATTTGCGGTTGTCATACATTCCTGTTTCCTAATGGTATTTGCAGTTTGTCATACATTCCTGTTTCCTAATGGTATATGCAGTTTGTCATACATTCCTGTTTCCTAATGGTATTTGCATTTTGTCATACATTCCTGTTTCCTAATGGTATTTGCAGTTTGTTATACATTCCTGTTTCCTAATGGTATATGCAGTTTGTCATACATTCCTGTTTCCTAATGGTATTTGCAGTTTGTCATACATTCCTGTTTCCTTATGGTATTTGCAGTTTGTCATACATTCCTGTTTCCTAATTGTATATGCAGTTTGTCATACATTCCTGTTTCCTAATGATATTTGCAGTTTGTCATACATTCCTGTTTCCTAATGATATATGCAGTTTGTCATACATTCCTGTTTCCTTATGGTATATGCAGTTTGTCATACATTCCTGTTTCCTTATCGTATTTCAAATTTGTCACACTTTCCTGTTTTCTGATGGTATACGCAGTTTCTCATACATTCCTGTTTCCTTATGGTATTTGCAGTTTGTCACACTTTCCTTTTTCCTAATGGTATATGCAGTTTGTCATACATTCCTGTTTCCTAATGATATATGCAGTTTGTCATACATTCCTGTTTCCTTATGGTATTTGCAGTTTGTCACACTTTCCTGTTTCCTAATGGTATATGCAGTTTGTCACACTTTCCTGTTTCCTTATGGTATTTGCAGTTTGTCACACTTTCCTGTTTCCTGATGGTATTTGCAGTTTCGAACACTTTCCGTTTCCTAATGGTATATGCAGTTTGTCATACATTCCTGTTTCCTTATCGTATTTGCAGTTTGTCACACTTTCCTGTTTTCTAATGGTATACGCAGTTTGTCATACATTCCTGTTTCCTAATGGTATTTGCAGTTTGTCATACATTCCTGTTTCCTAATCGTATGTGCAGTTTGTCATACATTCCTGTTTCCTAATGGTATTTGCAGTTTGTCATACATTCCTGTTTCCTTATGGTATGTGCAGTTTGTCATACATTCCTGTTTCCTAATGGTATTTGCAGTTTATCATACATTCCTGTTTCCTAATGGTATTTGCAGTTTGTCACACTTTCCTGTTTCCTAATGGTATTTGCAGTTTGTCATACATTCCTGTTTCCTTATGGTATGTGCAGTTTGTCATACATTCCTGTTTCCTAATGGTATTTGCAGTTTGTCATACATTCCTGTTTCCTAATGGTATTTGCAGTTTGTCACACTTTCCTGTTTCCTAATGGTATTTGCATTTTGTCATTCATTCCTGTTTCCTAATGGTATTTGCAGTTTGTCATACATTCCTGTTTCCTAATGGTATTTGCAGTTTGTCATACATTCCTGTTTCCTTATGGTATTTGCAGTTTGTCACACTTTCCTGTTTCCTAATGGTATTTGCAGTTTGTCATACATTCCTGTTTCCTAATGGTATATGCAGTTTGTCATACATTCCTGTTTCCTAATGGTATTTGCAGTTTGTCATACATTCCTGTTTCCTAATGGTATTTGCAGTTTGTCATACATTCCTGTTTCCTAATGGTATTTGCAGTTTGTCACACTTTCCTGTTTCCTAATGGTATTTGCATTTTGTCATACATTCCTGTTTCCTAATGATATATGCAGTTTGTCATACATTCCTGTTTCCTTATGGGATTTGCAGTTTGTCATACATTCCTGTTTCCTAATGGTATTTGCAGTTTGTCATACATTCCTGTTTCCTAATGGTATATGCAGTTTGTTATACATTCCTGTTTCCTAATGGTATTTGCATTTTGTCATACATTCCTGTTTCCTAATGGTATGTGCAGTTTGTCATACATTCCTGTTTCCTAATTGTATATGCAGTTTGTCATACATTCCTGTTTCCTAATGGTATATGCAGTTTGTCATACATTCCTGTTTCCTAATGATATTTGCAGTTTGTCATACATTCCTGTTTCCTAATGGTATTTGCAGTTTGTCATACATTCCTGTTTCCTAATTGTATATGCAGTTTGTCACACAGTCCTGTTTCCTAATGGTATTTGCAGTTTGTCATACATTCCTGTTTCCTAATGGTATTTGCAGTTTGTCACACTTTCCTGTTTCCTAATGGTATTTGCATTTTGTCATACATTCCTGTTTCCTAATGTTATTTGCAGTTTCCTACACTTTCTTGTAGAAACAAGGTTATGTCTTCCTCTTTCCTAATGTTATATGCAGTTTCTTATACTTCCCGCTTTCCTAATGTTATATGCAGTTTCTTATACTTTCCTAATGTTATATGCAGTTTCTTATACTTCCCGCTTTCCTAATATTTTATGCAGTTTCTTATACTCCTCTTTCCTAGTGTTATATGCAGTTTCTTTTACTTTCCCCTTTCCTAATGTTATATGCAGTTTCTTACACTTTCCTTTTCCTAATGGCGTATGCAGGTGGTTTCTCTTTCCAGATTTCTAATGGCATCTGTAGTTTCTTTCATTTTCCTGTTTCCTAATGGAACATGCAGGTTGTCACGCTTTCTTGTTCCCAAATGGTGTTGGCAGTTTCTTACAATTTCCTGTTTCCTGATAGTATGCGCATTTTTTACACTTTCCCGTTTCTAATGGCATATGCAGTTTACTATACTTTCCTGTGTCCTCATGGAATGTGCTTCTATTAGAGCCGTGTTACGGGGCAGTACAAACACAGAATACTGCTTCTATTAGAGCCGTGTTTCGGGGCAGTACAAACACAGAATACTGCTTCTATTAGAGCCGTGTTACGGGGGCAGTACAAACACAGAATACTGCTTCTATTAGAGCCGTGTTTCGGGGCAGTACAAACACAGAAT